AATTCGTAACAGAAAGTCGATTTTAATAAAATAGAATTTTAATTTATTTATTTTGATTTTATTTAGCGGTGGTATTTTAAAAACGTTTGAAACTTTAGGAAAAATTACGGTCGGCGGATCCGTAAACCAAGTAATAAAAAAGATGTGTCCTTAGCAACCCTTGCCGATGGATTCAAGGACAAAACCGAAATATCAGGAAATACAGCTATAAATTTGTTCCGATACATGCAATAATATATCAGTATATATTGAAATAAAAAAATTTTAATTGTTTTCAGATGAAACAGACATTAAGTCTCTAAGGCCTCCTTTTTGTGCTTCACAAAACTTCAATTCTAAAAATACTCAAAGAAAATTCTTATGTAAATTTTACCGGATAAGAAACATATACTCTTACACACTAACAGTTAAAATTTCCTAAAACAAGTTACACTCACGGTGAAACACAAATGAAATGTGTCTTTGTTTAGATTTTCGCCTTTTAGGTTTAGGTTGGGGATGAAAAATACGTGAATACACCGAAGGACAAACATGAACAAAACTACCCTTCCCAAAAATAATCCGGTCACTTTTACCAAGTCGGCAGACTGGGCCACAGTGGTTCAACGACCGGTGTTGACGCTGAACGATATTTGAGATTTTAATGAGGTTACTGAAAGACACGGGCGTTGTACAAATTCTAGAAACCAACATTCAACTGACGGTAATCAAACGAATGTTGAGGTAAGGTCTGGTCACCTAAATAAACGAAAATATCATTTAGTGGCAAATGCATACTTTGGAACTGACTTTCATTTCGCGCGACACATTTAGAGATTTAACCTTCAAAGCGTCAAACTGTATAACCGTCGGAGCTTTCTAGTGTCTGTTTTTCAAACGAGTCTTTTTTCAGTTTATTTTACTTCAGATAACGACATTAAATGTCTTATCTCTGTGTGATCCCAAATAGCGTTTTTACATAGCGTTCACTTTTCGAAAAGTACATTAATACTGTGAAGTAAAATACGTGAGAAAAATAACTGGGTATTCAGAGGTTGAAAACTACTCCGTGGGAAACCGATTATTTAATGCAGTTGACCGTCGACAAGATCCACCCCAGTGATTGAAATAACGGCGTGCCCGCCTGCCCGCCTGCCCGCCTGCCCGAGGCTGCCAACTTTCGTGTCGGGCTGCCTGAAAAAATCTCCACAAGCCCGATTGTCTGAATGATATTTTTAAATACCTCCCTTTTGGAAGCTACGTATGAATAACACGCGAGAAGATATATATATTTGAAGCGGGTATCGCTCTAAACATTCACTGTTAAAGTTTTTCAGAAAATATATCATTTTGATGATATAAACCGATAAGGTGAATTGCAAGTTTAACGGGCTCTTTTCAAATGTCACAGGCTGGGGATGTGACAGAGTATTTATTTCAAGCTTGTTGTTTTTAATTTGCTGAATTAATTCACATTTGAAACAATGATAAATGCAATTTATGAGTCAAACGTACGGACAGGCAACTTTCAAGATGGGCGGCAACATTTATGGGTCACCTGCCCGACTGTCTGGTTGAATGTGAAAATTATTTCGATCACTGATCCATCCCGCTATCAAATGTCATTATAACATTTTGGCCGAAACAGAATTCGAAATCCAAATTTCATGCAACTGCGATGTACATCTAAATCTGTTTCCCTGTCCAGCGCAACAACCTAACACTTAAGCTGCTTCCCGCCTCTCATATCGCCGTATAACCCAGTTTTGGTGCAAATTGACAACGTGCAAAGGGGAGCCGGGGACCGGCATAGGAGAACCGCGAATGAGCTATCGGAATGTGCTCAGCTAAGCTTGTTCCCTGCTCTCTTTGCGCGCTATATTGCAATATGCGAGACGAGGCCCAGCTTAGTGCTAAGCGACCTTGTTACGTCATGTTCTTCTGAATATTGTGACGTCACAATAACGACGTCATACCATCTGAAAATGGAGGACATAATGCAATGATTTGGATGTTTATGCCTGAGAAACACAGCCCAAACAAAGTGACACATTTGATGTAAGTAACAGTATATTGAACAGTTACAGGCCGACAACATTTGACTACGACAACATTTGACTGTACAGACTGTCGGTCTTGTGAATGTGATCAATGCGGAAGACGTCAGCTTCGCACCCAGTCACCAGCAACAAGTGGACAGCCCCGTAGATCACAGTGTTATTTCAGCCAATCATATGTCTTTTGGGAAATCCACAGCTGAAAACCTTTGCATTGCAGGCAATTAGGGAAATTGAGATTGTGAGCTGTGTAAGGCATCGAGATGGTGGAAGGTATCCGGTATTCTGTAATCTTACCGATGGTTCACGCAAAAAGAGAGCACAAAAGATTCGTTGGCAAAACAGATTGTTGCAAAAACCATGGAGGGCAGTTTATCCCTAAATTGAAATGTTGCCACCCTTTTCGTCATACCGCGACTTCTAAAGGTTCTGTACAAATATAACAATCGTTTTGAAATGTGCTTTAAACCGATATGCACCCTCTCTAACGAATGGATGGCGATGGATTTTTCATTAACTCAGCAATGATTATAACTCGCCACAGATATCAGGGATCACTAAAAGGCTGCGCAGTTCAACAAATAAATATCCTACATTTACATTTCAAAACATTTTCGAAATGTGTAAAACATGGCGACATTTTACAATGTACTGTATTTTCATCACATTTGTTTTGCCTAAAATGGCATTGGGCGATATCAAGAAACAGGAAATTTCCTGAATTTCCAAACTCAAAAACCGTTTAGATCACTTTGGTGCGTTATATATTTCGATTTTTATTCGTCTTCAAATTGGAGGAAGCATATGTAAGTCCCTCTGGTATTAAGAGGGTTAATCCGGTTAAGGAAACCTATGACACCATTCAACGCAGTACCTTGACGCAAGCCCCTCCAAGTTTTTGTCATGAAATAGCAGTGGGCGTTGCCTGTTTTTCCGGTTTGTTGAGTGAGTGAGTGAGTGAGTTTAGTTTTACGTTGAGCCATACAAGATATGCCTCTCAGGCAAATGCCATACAGGAACTTGTAATTTAACTAATTCAGATTGACATATATTTCTCAAATAATCGCCCCATTGACTTCTTGACATCCAGCACGTATAATGGTACACGCTTTGGCTTGTGCCACATCATAGCGCTTTTTTGATAAAAGAATATGTTTGCTTCTTGTATGTCCACGTGGCGGTTGGTAGCTTGTCAGACACCTTATGAGTGAGTGAGTGAATTTAGTTTTACACCGCACTCAGCAATATTCCAGCTTTGTGGCGGCGGTCTGTAAATAATCGAGTCTGAACCAGACAGTCCAGTGATCAACAGCATGAGTATCGATCTACGCAATTGGGATACGATGACATGTGTCAACCAAGTCAGCGAACCTGACCACCCGATCCCGTTAGTCGCCTCATACGACAAGCATGTGTTACTGAAGATCAGTTCTAGCCCGGATCTTCACAGGTCGCAGTGTGGCACTCAAAATGTTTAGAAGATAATTGAAGCATGGAAAAAATAATCGAAGCAACGAGAAAAAAGTTCATTAAACCTTCCTTGAAAGAAAATACTTAAACCTTTTGAGTGTTTCTCGTTATGTCGGTTATTTCCTTGTAGTTTCAATTATTTTTTCGTTGGTTTTTTGCTAATTTATAATCACGAGTAAATTATCAATTACAAAATATATAATCGTAGTAACGTGAAATAACTAATAATTGAAATAACGTGAAATTTGGTATAAAGCGGATTATTTTCTTCAGTAAAAGTTGGTCTGTAAGATATATGTACTTGCGAAGGTGACGTGACATCTGGAGATACTGATACAAGCTTCGTAAAATCATGCTGTTACGAGCGTGTTGATACCGAAGTCAGTTTTGTTGACGTGCTTATGCTAATACTTGGTATCATAATCAAAAGGTGCCATATACCCACAACATTCGTCACCACTCGCCCCTTTCCGTAATGTCCAAGAAGGCTCGTCCCTTCTCAATGAATTTTATTTGTGCGAAAAGACGAGAAACATAATTGAAGTACTTTGATAAAAATAATCCCAAATTAAATCGGTTATGGCATTTTGTGATTGTTAAAAAAATTGTGAAAACAATATATATCGTTGTTTTGTCATTATAAAGAACACAGCTAACAGAATAGGGCCATGAAGGGTGAGAGATTCAAATAAACACGTGCGTATGCTTACATAACGGCTCTGAGACGTTTCCAATTGAGTGTTTTCGCGGATGGTCTTGCCGACATACTTGCGATATTTTACGTGCGCTTTCCGCTTTTAGGGTATATAATTATAGGAGCTCCAAATTTCAAAACAATATATTTATGTGTGACTAATCATCTTTAATCTTAAGCACTGTATTTAAATTTCACTTCAATGGGCATATTTTAGGCTCACGATTCTTGGGGTCCTCATACGTTTTCAGCGTATTCACTTTAGATTGTATCTTTGACCGAGCAATGATTCCAAACGGCATTAGCCATTCAGAAAGCAGATGTACGACAGGAGATTCAAACTGGCTACCTTTCCGCGCTTCGCTCTGATATACATATTAACAAAATGTCCGGAAATCCAACTTGAGCGAACGCCCTTTACCCAAGGGAATCTACTCTAGTGTTTGTAACGTGAGTTAAGCTGCTATAACGTTACCTAACGTAGCGACAACATGGATAAAGGTAAAACCTCTGCACAAGTTTTTCAATTTGGGAAAAGTCCCCAAACCACTGAGGTTTACAAGCTTGTAACTAATAACGGGGTCACAAGTACAGATAAAGAAAACTGATTCCGCTGTCGTCCTCTCAACTCTGGCTGTTAATGATCGTTAATTCCTCCTGGCTGGTATGTTTTCTCTTAATATTCCGATCTGGATATTGATCGAGGTATGGGTGAAGTTAGTTCTGCATGACTGTAATCCAAAATATGACCATTTAATCGATCGTTAAATTAAATAAATATTTTCTTTCTTTTCATCTAGTCCAACGACAGCGTGTCACTGCCGGCTTCCTACATGGCAGACACACCCGCTTCTCCGCCTCCACAGGACGACGTCGTCACCAGCCTCACCCTCAAGCGCCGTGTTTACACGAGGCTGGAAATTGACGAAGCCTACAAAGACGAGACTCCTCCTTGGACCTTCGCTGGCTACTTCAAGTCGGCGTGCAGATGCTCCAAAGAAAAAGCCATCTCTGGCCTCCTGAGCGTCTTCCCTATCGTCACCGTCATCAGGAAGTATCAACTACGTCGGTACATCCTCGATGACTTCCTGTCAGGCCTCTCCACTGCTTTCCTTCATCTGCCACAAGGGCTGGGTTTCGGACTGCTTGCCTCTTTAGCCCCCCATCAACGGCCTGTATGCCACCTTCTTCCCAATCCTCCTGTATACGCTCTTTGGAACCTCTCAGCATGTAAGCATGGGAACAAATGCGGTTATTGCCCTCATGACGGCTAATATCGTTGAACGTGAGGGGGACATGTTCAAAGCATCGTTTGTCAATGGGACAGTTCCTGATGCGGAGTTTCTGAATCATAAAGTGGGGGTGGCAATGGCCGCGGCGTTCTTCAGCGGACTGATACTGTTAGTGATGGGAACTTTGCGCCTTGGCTTTCTTACCATGTATTTATCCGTGTCGTTCGTCGGTGGGTTCACCACTGCATCTGCTGTTCACATCGCCACAAGTCAGGTCAGCAAGATGCTCAATATCAAAGTAAAGGCGTTCTCTGGAGCAGGAAAAGTCATCCTTACGTACGTGGCCATCTTCACCAACATCGCAGACACCAACGCGGCCGACATCATCATTGCCCTCATTAGTGTGGCTATTCTTCTGGCTGTCAAAATAGGCATCAATGAACGATACGCGCGTAAACTGAAGATTCCAATACCCATTGATCTCATAGTAGTTGTAGTAGGGACAATAATATCTCATTTCGCAGAACTCAACCGACACTTCAACATCGCCATTGTTGGTGATGTACCGACAGGACTGCCTGTGCCCATGCTGCCGAATTTAGAAGTTATTCCCAGGATAGCAACAGATGGGTTCGTCATTGCAATCATAATATTTGCCATGACGATATCAATGGCGAAGCTGATGGCACGACAACATGACTACGAGCTTGACTACAACCAGGAACTAATAGCATATGGCATGAATAATTTTGCCTCCTCTTTCTTCCACTGCTTCCCATCCTGCACAGCTCCACCCAGAACAATGATCCTCAGCTCTTTAGGATCCAAGACAACCCTGAACGGTATCCCGTCAGCCCTCTTCATCCTCATCGTCCTGCTGGTCGCTGGTCAGCTGTTCGTCTCCCTACCGATCGCTGTCCTGGCTGCTATGATTGTTGTTGCTATGAAGAACCTCCTGCTGCAGATACGGCAGCTCCCAGGATTGTGGAGGTCAAGCAAGGCCGACTTCACCATCTGGCTCTTTACCTTCCTAGTCGGGGTGCTGGCAGATCTGGACCTCGGAATCATCGTTGGCATAGGAATATCTGTCCTTACCGTTGTCGTCCACACGCAGCTCACCGCGGGATTTGTCACGGGTGTCTCGACAAAGGAGGACGTGATGGTGTCTGAGGGAATCCGGGACGGGACAAGACCGATTCCTGGCATCTCGGTGTTCTTCTTCAACTCAATGTTGTATTTTGCCAACGCGGAGAAGTTCAAGAAGGAGATATTTGAGAAGGTGTACCATCCTGCTACAAGGGAAAACATCAAGAGAGATATCAATGCAAAAGCATCGGGTAAAGGTGAAACCTCTGACGGCGACGATGGCACGGAAGTCGACCATGCCGATGTTGTGGCTGTCGTGTCGGATGACGCTCACGTCCACAGCATCATCATTGACTGTTCCGCCATGTCCTTCATTGACATCGGTGGTGTGAATATGCTCCAGGTAATTGCGTCGAAGTATGGAAAGGTAGATACAAAGGTCTACCTGGCCTGTGTTGGGCAGTATATGTGGAAGACACTCCAGAGAGCTGGCTTCTTTGACAACTTCCCAAAGGAAAATGTATTTTTGATGTATGGGATGCCGTGACCGCTATTCAAAAGAAAGGTTCCAGAGGAACCACTTACCTCTGAACGCATGAGTCTTGTATCAAGACCTTCCTTGTTTTAGATTCTGGTATGGTAGATCCGTCTTTTACTGAGACAGTTCTGTTCTATACATTGTAAGGCTATAGGGGCGGTGGGATAGCCTATTGGTTAAAGAGTCCCTCACATGGGTACAATGTCTGAAGCCCATTTCTAGTGTAACATTAGTGGAATATTGCTAAAAGCGGCGTAGAACCTTACTCACTGACTGTAGTGCTGTAGCTAGTAGAACTGGCGTTGAAAAAGGTTTTCAAACAAGAGGTGCAGTCTCGATCCGATAGGGAAACCAGGGCCTAGATTTTCGAAGCTCTCTTAGCGCTAAGATAGTCGTAACTTCCATATATTAACATTAACTTACGACGATCTTAGCGCTAAGAGAGCTTCGAAAATCTAGGCCCAGGTCGACTAACATAGACAGATCATCATGATGTTCTCTTATTAACTGGAATGTAAGAAAATGGTCATGCGTGGAGTTTTAGCTCCCGAACAATCGGACAATTACATTGTAACAGGTATTTGGATAGGTGGTATAATGAGGAATAAACTTCCTAAAGTAAACGTACCTTATGTATGATTGTATGCATTTATGTTTGCTGTAACTTTGTGACAACAGTTCAGCTTTAGCGACTTCTAAGGCATATATCAGCTCTAGCGCTAGAATAAGTTTGTGGGACTGAATTCAGTTGAACATGCTGATCTATGCGCTAAGACTATCGTAACTGCCGTACTTGAACAAAGACTCTGAGTCCCAATACGTCCGTAATACTACAACATTCGTAAGGTTATGTTTACTATAGAGTTGCGACAGGTCGTAACCTAATGAACGCTCGGTTGATCGGGACCCAAGATAGTTTGGGCGCTCAGATAGCTTTGTGGGACGGGATCCTGGACCCAGTTCTGTTATTAACCCAAGATCACATGGTCCCGATTTCTCGAAACAAACTGAGTTTTGACTTAATTTAACGTTTTTACTCACATTTGAGAAAACGCAGGAAAACGCATTTCCCAGAATAAACTGAAATCGAGATTTAACTCAAACATAGTAGACAATTTAAGTCTAGTAGATATTTTATTTGAATTGTTTTGGCTTTTTTATTTTAGAAATGCAGTTGAGTTAGAAATTAAGCTATTTCAAATTGTCAAACTCAGTTTCGAGAAATCGGGTCCTGGGCCTAGATTTTCGAAGCTCTCTTGGCGCTAAGATCGTAGTAAGTTAATGTTAATGTATGGCACTTATGACTATCTTAGCGCTAAGAGAGCTTCGAAAATCTAGGCCCAGGACAGCTATTCTCGAAACGTTCGTAGCCCTACGAACTTCTCAAGCACATTCTCAACACATTGGCTACGATCAAAGTTAAGAATTCTTAGGGCTACGAACGTTTCGAGAATAAGGGCCCAGGACAGTTATTCTGCCTTATAGATAGAAAGTTTGATGTTACATTTCTTGTATGATTTGAGGAAAATGTGACATAAATTTCTAATGTATATGAAAACTCTGAACCATATTCACCTATAAGTCAGCTACTGGTATTGACTAAAAGCGAGGCGTTTTTCGTGTTCAGATGGTGCATAGCATATACTTATATTTTTGTTAGAAAAACCCAATAAATACATTACAAAATAACACTTGCGATTTTTGTAATCATTATGCACACGTTCCTGTTCTTAATCTGGGGATACTTCTCGTTATTACCTGAAGTTTCCAAAGAAACGGTGTTAATTCAACAGAGGGTACACTTTCTATAAATCTCATGAACTGATGCTTGGGATCTAGGGCCAGTCAGATGTAAAGTTTCTCAATACAAACTGGCTGGATTTCTTTGGCCCCCTGATGCGGGTACATTTTTACAATGGGGAAACCCTCAAAACAAATATTTCTTGGATGGACCTCCAGCTCAAGTGTAGATACCATGGCGCTCAGAAACGACCGGGTGTATAAAAGTCCACAACGATGAAATTCAGCGGTATTAGTTTACTTTCGGAACGGGTCGATCGGTTAGTTTTTTGAGATACAGCAATCAAAATTAATATGCGTTACATAATAACAATTGGCTTGATGTGGTCTCCAGCAGCCCATGCCTGACGTAAGAGGCGAAAAAACGGGACTGAGTGAACAGTGACGTAACGATGCATGTCATGATCATGTCACAACTGCGTACAGCAATCGATGCTCATGATGTTAATCTCTGGTCTGGTTCATGTTTATATATATCGCAATCATATACCTGGAATATTGCCGAGCGGGCGATACAGCCATCTTAATCTAGGTCACGCATTGTCGCTATTCGATCCTCGTTTTTCGGACGGGGCGGTGGGGCAGCCTATTGGTTATAAGGCGTTCACTCGTCACGCTGAACACCCGGGTTCGATTCCCCACATGGGTACAATGTTTGAAGCCCATTTCTGGTGTCCCCCTCCGTGATATTGCTGGAATATTGCTAAAAGCGGCGTAAAACCCAACTTACTCGTTATTCACCCTAGAAGAATACTAGTAGTGGGTCTGGCATTGATACTACCCCGGAATATTCACATGCAACTCCACCACTTACCCCAACATACTCCAAACAACCACACAGCTTTCGAAACTTACTGAAACGCTAATAAAATATAGAGAAAATTTTTTTTCAGTGAACACAGTTTCATGCTGCCAGTTTTCACAGCCATTATTTCATTCTGCGATCATATCCCAGATCGGCTCATGAATACAAGACCGCCTCCGTGGTGTAGTGGTTAGAGCGTCCGCCCGCGTCACACCAAAAGACGTTAAAATATGGTACTTGTTGGTCCCTGCCTGGCGCTCGGCATTAATGGGTACAACAAGGACTGGTCGGCTCGGAGTCAGTATAATGTGTCTGAGTGGGGTATTCATGCTTCACTGCGGCATGGTATCTCAGTGGGCTAGCACTATAAAACCAGCTTAAGTCTGGGCTAGTACAAGCAGCCGCACCTACACATACACACTCATGCACGTCGTCATATGAGCGAAATATTCCCCAGCGCGACGTTAAACCCAATTTCACCTCAACTCATGAATACAAGATTTTAGCTTCGCAAATGTTCCCAGGACAATCGAAGTACTTTATTGATTCATTGAAGGGTTCTGTGGACGGGAGAAAATATGGATACGTGGTCATTGATGACTCCCCATAATTTGATCAGCAACCCGTCAAGATCCGGGTTAGAATTGGTTCAGAAACCCAAGAGGCAACTAACGGGGTCGGGTGGGCAGGCTTGCTGACTTGGTTGACTCATGTCATCGTATCTCAATTATGTAGATCGGTGCCCATGTTGATGAGCACTGGATTTTCTGGTCCAGACACGGTTATTTAGCTTTTTAGCTGGAATATTGCTAATATTTTACGTACAGGGACATTTCCCGATGATGTGTGCACTGTGTACTTATATAACCTGTTGGAGCATGCAGCTTACACACCGAGAAAATCGGAAACTACATCACCGGAAAGTGTGGTATTCTCAGACTGTTGGTGAACTTCAATGTGTTTTAGCACGTGGCATTGACATTCCTAATTGTTGCAGTGGACCGTAATTATTTTGTGCTTAAGCGAACTAGGGCATTCAATGACTAATCTTATTCAATGTGACAAAAACATTGCATAAATATTCCTACTGGTTAATTGGGTTTTATTGCGCAGTTTACATGCGCCAAGACACCTGTGAAACATTCTGATTATAAAAAGATATTGTACGTAAAAGATAAACCAGTACATCTTGTACATGGATAAGTGAACTTCAATAAAATTGGATTCTTTGTAAATGTCCATTTTCACTGTAATAACATGTTTAACATTATTGAATATAAATTTTTGATTTGTCACATATCTTTTGTGTTGCTTCTTCACAACTATTTGGGGCGGTGGGGTAGCCTAGTGGTTTAAGCGTTCGCTCGTCACGCTGAAGACCCGGGTTCGGTTCCCCACAGGGGCACAATGTGTGAAGCCCATTTCTTGTGTCCCCCGCCGTGATATTGCTGGAATATTGCTAAAATCGGCGTAAAACTGATGTCACTCACTCACAACTATTTGATAAAGAAAAACAAATCCCATGCATGAAGGATGATAATAAGGGGAGAAAACTCATGTCACCTTGTCACACGTCCAAAAACCTTCAAAAAGAAACCAACAAAGAGCTTCGTTCGTTATTCAATGATGCTGTCATTCATAGCAATTCATAGACTTGCGGACCTTAACTAGCACTAATATATGGAATCCTGGAAGGGACATTGTCGCGTTGTCGCATTGTCGCGTTGTCGCCCTCTCAAATACAAGCAACATGAAGCAAAATTAACCAAAGGCGACACGCGACATCGCGACAACGCGACATTTCGCCCATTTGTCGCATTGTCGCGATGTCGCGTGTCGCGTTTTGAATAATATCTTTTTTTATTCCTCCAAAGGGCGACCCACGACATAGCGACAATGTCCCTTCTCGGATTCCATACTAATACCACGTCCAAGGTTTAACTTGTTCTAATATTGTACTGTTAATGCGTTATGCTGTATCACACGATATAAACTCTAAAACCAACAGGGTATAGACATTTCCCCTGCATTATGGAAACCTTGAATGTGCTTGGTTAGACACAACAAACACGGGTAAAGGATCAACCATGTAATCGATAAGCTATACAAGGACTTAAGAAAATTCCTTTAAACAATCCAGAAAGTCACTGGAAGTGTATTGGTGAAAATACAATAGTTATTACAAAAGCATGTTCGTAATAATTATATTAAAAATAATCAAAGAACGCTTGTTGTTATCATATTGTTTTTATAGTTAACTTGTGCATTTGTAGCAGGAGAACAATCTAGTGTCCATACAAAACCTCAAGAGTTAACATTATAGTTCAGCCTGTCTCTGTTTCGATGATGCGAATATTAACTAAACCCTTGATAAACCAAAACAGAATAATTGCACAGTGTCCATTATCTCTCCCACCCACTCTCTCTCTCTCTCTCCTCCGTCTCTCTCTCTATCCCCCCCTCTCTCGCACACACACAATTCATATGCAGCTGTTTTCTCTTGCCGATATAATAACGTCTTCAGTATTACTTTTTGTCACAATCTTTCTCACGCATCTGATGCTTTTTTCCCTTTTTGGAGGTGTTTTTTCTACTCTCTGATAAACCTGATAAAATCTTGAGATGTATCACTGCTATGTACACACATGCAAGCACATGATAACGCTGCTGCAGATGATGTATAGTATCTGCAACATAGAAACAAGTAATCGTAGATAGATTGAAACATCTACATGAAGAGGTTACTATCGCTCACAAAGAAAGGATGAGTAGAATCTGTGCATTATATATATATACTAGTGTGTGAATATATGGTAAATGAAGCTGATACCTGTATAGTTTGTGTTCACGTCCTAATTGTGACTGTATTGATTACGTTGTTTTGTCCGAATACATGATGAAGCCAGTGGTTATTATTTAATATAATTTCTAAATGAATATTGAAATGTTCAGCCTCGAAACTGACAAAATTGTTGGCGCAAGCATAAAGTACTTAGGGAAATATGTTTCACGAATTGAAAAAATTCGATCAGACATAAAAAAAACCCCGTAATTGCTCATTTCCCTTGCATGAGTCCAATACACATGGTTTACAACATAATCTACATTCTTCACTTAAATATCTGTTGGTAATGCATCTTAAGTCATAAAAAGGTAAATGGCAATTTTAGTTAGAATGGTGGAATCCTGAAAATGAAATAAAACAGACGAGACAACAAGAAAATCACTAAAACGATGTATAATTCTTTCTTGAAGTGATGAATTGTGAGGTGGGCTAATTTTTAGCATATTTTAGTGGATTCCAAAATCATATTCATAAAATCCCACACAAAGTACACTTTTACCCCTCCTTTTTCCAATTTTATGTGTTACTCTTCCAGAAAAGAAACACATAGGTGATTTTGAGAATATTGACTCGTGTAGCTGCAGATTAAACAACACAAATATACTATTTCCTTCCAAAACGTCATCTGTGTGTGATTGTAAACAGCTTCAGCGCCCAAACCCGGCAATTTTATCATTTGCTCTTGTTATAGAAGCGTTTGAAGGAATATTTGCCAAAACGTCACCTAGTAAACATGCAAAGCAAAATGCACGTGCAAGTAGGCGGAAAAGCATGCGGTATCGATCACTATACAAAGGCAAACATTGTGTTTAATTTTGTCATTCGTTTTGGCCTGGAAAAGAGGAAATTATCATGCCACGACTGACAGCCGCCAATCGAAACAACGCCAAAGGCCGCCTTGAAGCTGGGGAGTCGCAGTCTGCAGGCAAAGGTCATTCGACCATAAACAGTTCACACGGGTGTTGATTTAGTTCAAGGTCAAGGAAAAGTGCACTCAAGCAAAAGTCATTACAGCTTGTTCACCTTGACCTGACCAAGTGAATACTAATGCAATGCGTGACCGTGTCACAACTAGTTGGGTCTATTATTGTGAAGGGGTGCACCTTTGTCAGTTGAGTCTCAACATGTCAAGGTCTGCGTTTGACATCTCAGTGTCGAGAATTCGTCAGCAATGTCCCAACTTTCTTTAAATATATATATATGAAGCTACAGATGGATTAATGTTTCCGATTCGGGCTTTTAGGCGACTACTGGGACAGCAATATTCCAGTTGAACATGAAATAGAAAAAGTGATAATTGAACTGGGTGTAGAGAGTGGTAGCGAGAGTGAATCAGATTGTGAAAGTAACTGACGTCTGTACGTTGTAGGTGAGGTGAGGTGAAATTGGGTTTAACGTCGTGCTTGAGAATATTTCGCTCATATGACGACGTGCATGCGTGTGTATGTGTAGGTGCGGCTGCTTGTACTAGCCCAGACTTAAGCTGGTTTTATAGTGCTAGCCCACTGAGATACCATGCCGCAGTGAAGCATGAATACCCCACTCAGACACATTATACTGACTCCGAGTCGACCAGTCCTTATTGTACCCATTAATGCCGAGTGAGAGGCAGGGACCAACAAGTACCATATTTTAACGTCTTTTGGTATGACGCGGTCGGGGATGGAACCCGCGACCTTCCGCTCTCCGGGCGGACGCTCTAACCGCTCCACTACGGAGGCGGTCCTGTACGTTGTTAAGCTGTAAACCAAACTAGATAGAATATGACTGTGTAAACAATTCAATTAAACATGACATTATTGCTTTTTAGAAGTGTTGTTTTCCGGGACAAGTTCTGTAACGAATTCATGCATGCATGCTTCGCACAAACGCCACATTAATCACATTCTCTGCCTCCCTATTTAATGAAGTTAACTCGACCTGCCGTTTGTGCCATTTGACCTCCCGGGTCATGCATATGTAGAGTAGCTCAGGTCAAGCTGAACAAGCTGTAGACTATAGTACCACAATTGCTACTTTTAACGCCCTTGTTAAATTATATATGTGCATGTCTGTCTGTCCGTCTGTGTAATAAATATATTATACAAATCAGCTTTCTGTTGTTTTTGCAAGGAGCGTTTTAAACATGCCATGTCTGTTTATGGAGCCGAGCGTGTCAACGAGTCAATGCTTGGGTGAAGCATTGTTTACCATCCCCGCTATACGGCGCTCGCTATACGATGACTGAACACACCTGTGTCATGCTACCTATCTGTTGTTTAAAAATGCAGCTTAATAATGGAATGCCACATGCTAGCAGTTATCAAAACAGTTTACCTGACCTATTGCAAATGTGCTTCCTGTGTGCGTGTGTGCGTGCGTGCGTACGTACGTCTATTGCAGTGGCAGTTTTAGAGCTCTTTGGCCCCTGATATCACAGCTCGGGACAAGAAATAGCTTCATTGCACCCAATTAGGGAATAGAAAACGGGTCTCCGGCGTGACTAGCTAGTATTGCAACCACATGGCTAAACCCCACCACACACACCCCTACTCACGGAGGGGAAACAACAAGTTCCACATTTTAACGTAGGCCTACTTTGTACTGACGCGAACCAGGATCGAGCCCCTGACCTCCGGACCCCGGGATAGTACATGTTTTCCTTCAGCGGCTTTGTAGTACAGACTGAGTTGATATACTGCTGTGTACCAGAGCTCATCTGCGCCGGGCTACACTTACAAATTGTATTGATCACATCCTGTACCGTTGTGACGCATGGACTAGCAATCGACAAGAGATGCACAACTCGTACCAGGACAGGAACTACGTGCCGTTTTCGCCTTGGGTGACCTACGTCGCCCACAGTCCGACGCTAGTCGGGCACGTTGTTTATTTAAGGTGTAAGAGTTCAGTTATTACATTGCTGTTCTCCATACAGAAGAAGAAGAAAGAAGAAAAATATTTTATTAGAGTGTCACACACTTCATAAAAGTGTCCGGCCAACATTGACCTACGAGACACTAAATACAACGTTGTATATAAAATTAATATATTAAAAGGTTAATACTGTAAAATATCATAAAAGGTAAAAGATACATAAAATACAGTACGACCCAGTGAGATGATATTAAGTGGCTCATTTGTGAACATTCCTATAGGAAAACATGGACAAACCCGTTGCGGCTATGGATTTTATATGGCATTCGTTGGATAATATGTAAATTTGCATGTGCGATTTTCTAATGGAGTTATGGGTCGGGTAAAACGTCCCACTTCCACTTCCAGTGGCAATGATCCGCATCGTAACTTGATTTTTGAGTTGAATTGTTTTCATTTCCATGTATGGAGAACAGCAATAATTAACAATGTAAGGTATATTAGGTGCCATGTCGACCCAGAAAACGAAAATACATAGAACTTAACGATAGACTACGGAGAGAAAAAGACTATGATAGAGTATGGAGATGCTGTTTCTCATCTTGTTGGACTTTAAAGTCAATTGTGTATGAACCCATAGGCGGATCCAGAAGGGGGATGCAGGGGTGCGCAACCCCCCTTTTGTACTGAAAGTTTATTCAATGACCATTGAAACTCGGACGAAAATGACATGTGCACCCTCCCTTTTCTCAATAGTATGCACCCCCCCTTTTTAAAAAAGCTGTATCCGCCCCTGGAACCATCATTGTGGACATGATTGTGAATAGAACTTTATCAATTTACGCTCAGTTACATAATGCTACACATTGTGTGCAGTTATGTATTATGTATGATTGTGATAAGTAATTTATCAATTTATGTATGCTGAACATAAAAATACAAATGATAGTCCACTTGTGTCTATCCGTCCGACTTTCAAAATAAATAATATTGCTTCAGTTTGTTCATGTGTTTTTATTTTGACTATTTCATTATAATATGTAGGTAACAGGTAGTAGATAATCTGTTCACTGAACCGTAAATGTTATTGTTTTAAGGTGTCTGCGAACTGGCTGTCTGCGTAATGGGAGGACATCCGTCCGGCGGGCGGTGGGGTAGACTAGTGGTTACTCGTCACGCCGAAGACCCGGGTTCGATTCCCCACTAGGGTACAATTTGTGAAGCCCATATCTGGTGTCCCTTGTCGTGATATTGCTCGAATATTGTAAAATTAAATGCACTCACTCATCCTACACTCCGAAGTGCACATCGTGACTAATAAATATTTAATCTGAACAGTTTTGCACAGCTTTGTGTACGAAGCTTCCTCGTTAACTGACTTCCTCGTCCCGGTATTTGTATGGTTTCATTCTGTTTGTACATGGGTGTGTAACCCTTACTCATATTTTATCCTTATTTAGATGCAAGTGTTTCACGTGATCTTGATAGACTAAGTATGGTTATTACCTGGGTGGGATATATATTCCAGCCACGTGACACAGGGCAAGTTAACCTATAGCTTTTCTTTCTGTGTGTATCACACCATGAGCCGGTGGTGTAAGATTACACCCAGTCAGTTCCTGCTCACAGGTGTGTGTATTATGTCACTTGTGGGGTAGCCTAGTGGGTAAAGCGTTCGCTCGTCACACCGGTGACCCTGGTTTTATTCTCCAAATGGGTACAATGTATGAAGCCCAATTCTATTGTCCCCCTCTGTGATATTGCTGGACTATTGCTAAAAGCGACGTAAAACGAAACTCACTCACCCCCTTACATTCAAAGAACACAACGTCTAACATCCAATTGTTGATGGTGAAAAAAGAGTGAAGTCAGCGAAGTTATTGTTGTTTTTATTTACAAGAATTGACTGCAATGTGGTTGAACAACAGTTCCTAATTTCAATCTCGTCATATTGTGCTATACATATTTATGACGCACTTATGTGTTTGAACAACAGTTCCTAATTTCAATCTCGTCATATTGTGCTATACATATTTATGACGCACTTATCAAGACATCTGTACTCAAAAGGGGTATCCCTTTCCAGTGAATCCGAATGTAGTCATTCTCAACACCCTTGCCAACAGGCTTTTGGAGATGTTTTACTTCCACCCATTTCCTGTTGGTCGAACATAGGTATAATGAACTAAGTCACGTGCCCACTGTGCCCACCGGATAGCACGTTCGAGTTATGCGTGGTATGAACACACACTCCCCCAGATAGCATTCGGATGTAGGCCCAACGTTGGCAATGTTGGCAAAACCATTGCCAACGTTGGGCCAACGTCTGAATGCTATCTAAACCACCCCAGCATGACGCCCTGTCCTGTTTTCAGCCGAGTAATGCTTTGATGATTTTTTATATTTTTTTAAGGCCACATAAAATAATTTCTTGCTTCTCATTACCGTCCGACTCTAAAATTTGTCCCGACCCTAATCTGTAAAATATTATTTTCACTGGTAAATTTCCGTGTATAAAGCCGGCAGACTTCAGAAATCCGTCCCAGCTTCCGGCGTTCCAAGTTTTCGACTAATACATTTCCCCTGAATGTCAAAATATAAAAATAAAATCCACCCTGCCTACCCAGTTTTTAAAAATTGATGAGAAACAAGACATTTATTTTACGTGGCCTAAACCATGTATAGTTTCTTTTACCCGCTAGTATGTAGGTTTGGAGTCGATATGCAAAAATATTGCCTTTCAGAGATGTATTTCATACTCCAGTTGCTAGCGTTCGCTTAAAAACAACTTGGAAATGGAATTGCTTTTGATGAGTCTACACAGCTAGGGTCATTTCTTTATCAATCCTCTACAAATAAAGCCACGCAACGATAGTCATGAGTAAAAGTCCTTTTTCTCCGCTCTGAATGTTAGCGAGTGCGCCACATGAAATACTCATACAGACTACACATTGGAATTTCAACGCTTGGTTGAAGCACTGTTTACCATCCCCGCTATACAGCGCTCGCTATACGATGACAGAAGACACCTGTGTCATACCACCACCTGTTTTAACATAGCACGCTAAACACTGGAATGTTACATGCTAGCAGTCATGTTATCAAAACAGTTTACCTGGCCTATTGCAAACACGCAGGCTTTCGACTGGGGACAGTCTGAACGAGGAAATAGTTGCGTCTAGGTGTGTGCGCCAGTGGGTTACACACACAGGTATGGCGCATTCCAACAAGGGACTGTCTCAAGCCCAAATCACTAACAACATACATCACTCGCCCATTCGCATATCTAAGGAAATTATGAATTTTCAGTGCAAAACATGGTTACGGATACATGAAGCAATGACTTTATTACTAAATCATCTGAATGATATGGTTTTTAATATATGTATTTGAATCCATTATTAACACAACGTCTACTTGATAACAATTCACATTCAGTTATAATATATGAAAAACTTTACTTACAGAGTCATAGGTAGTGCCAAATGTTTTATAACGGAGGTGATGGTTCAGACAAGACCTTTGATATTGCAGAAAGTGAATACAAATGATAATATTGTTCAGCATACAAAGTCAACATGTTCTCCGCCGAGCATCACATCCTGGTAATGGTTGTCCCTTATCAGATGAGGAAACGTGAACGTATACCAGTGATGAAGATTATACACTAATGGCATTCAAATTAGTTAACACTTAGGAATCCGTAGAAAAGTAAAGTTTGTTCTGTCACAGTTACCCCTAATTCGAAAGCTTTTTCTGTGGATCTTCTGCTTGAAATATGTCCTGTGGATACTGGAATTCGTCTTCAAGCATCAGCTTCGTTAATTTACCTCCAAGTCTGTTTCGTATGACATTCTCGGATGATGCATAAACCATCCGGATGTTAACTTTAGCATCTGGTCCTAACCTGGAAAACATTATATGAGGAAAAAGGTGTAACGAACAATTAAACGTATTCCCTGCATGAAACAGCCATGGCCTTCCTGAGAGAGAGAGAGAGAGAGAGAGAGAGAGAGAGAGAGAGAGAGAGAGAGAGAGAGAGAGAAGAGAGAGAGAGAGAGAGAGAGAGAGAGAGAGAGAGAGAGAGAGAGAACAATGGACACTGTGCAATTATTCCTTGTTTTGGTGTATTTAATAGGGTTTAGTTAATATTCGCATCATCAAGACTGAAATAGAGACAAACAGAACTATAATGTTAACTCTTGAGGTTTTGTATGGACACTAGATTGTACTTCAGCTACAAATGCACAAGAAACTATACAAAAAAACACCACTATTTATATTGAAAAAAATATGCAACTATGTATTTTGTGTGATTTTTAGTGAGTTAGACGAATGTATCAAAAGTACTACTATCGAACTCTCTTTGATCTCTGGCTCCCTCTCCCAAATAAAAACAACAACATATCAGCTTTATAATTACTATAACCATCAAATGATTTGTACTACTGCTCCCTAAAAGCGGCGTAAAACCATACTCACTCACTTCTTACTTACAACCCTCACTCACTTATTCACCCATGTCAGTACTAAAAGTATTTACCACCTTATCATCTTTAATCTCTCTCTCTCTCATTCAAGCTCTCAATCAATCAAATATATACGTACTATACTTACCATCTAATGAGACTCCTCTGGTAGTTATTGGTCTGATCAACGTAGGTGTACATGATATATCGCATGTTGTCTTTCGGCACGATCTCGCCTAAACGCTTAAACTCCTCCTTGTCTGCCTCGACTGTTTTACAGTCAGCGCCCAAATCAGAAATCAGTCGTATCTGGTCCAAGCAAATCTTTGTTTTCTTGTCATTAATTTTGAAAATCACATATTTGTAAACATGTCCCTTGGTATCTTTGGCGATAAAGTCGAGAGCTTCCTCATCCAGAGTGATGCCAGATGCCATAATTGAGTCGATTTAGGATACACGAAGCGAAGAGATGAATGTCCGCCCTAGTCGTCCACCTCACCGTAGCTTACAACGGGTTGCTTTTGCACACGGAACAGTCTCATTATGCTATGACTAATACAGCGATTGGTCTTCCTTATAAGGCCTCAGGAAGAGCTGGATATATTTAGCTTACAACTGGTTGCTGTTGGACACGGAGCAGTCTCATTATGCTAGACTAATACAGCGATTGGTCTTCCTTATACGGCCCCAGGAAGAGCTGGATATATTTAGCTGCAAATGTAAAACTGGTTTCAAACTCCCCTCATACTGAGTGACTGTTCAAAGCTTCCCTATTTCATACTGTCTTTGTCGAGCAGATATTTAAGACCGAGAAGTCCTGACGCCATGTATGCACATGACAATATAGATTTTTGAGTAAGTGCGTTCAGTGTAGTATAGTTGCGCTACCTAACGAGAATAGAGATCCATGGCGCAGAGTTGTGTTTTTGCTTGTGGGCGTGGAAGCTGCTTCGGACCTTCACGCAACGCAACCCATCATATAACGTGTGACTATCGCTCGTGTGTAACAGTGCCAAGTAGAGTGTAATGTCATGTGTAATGTCATGCTGATAGAAAGATTGAAATGGTTGCTGGTTTGGAAAGTGCACACAGGTTGAGAAAATACGTATATTCATGAAGGTATGGGGTCACGAGTCCCAAGCTGGATCACCACGAGAGTAACTGACACAGTGTAAATCGCGATAAAGCCGATACGATATGCCGATTACAATAGTGGTGGAGGAAGAGTGCTATCAAGCCCACGTTTCTCAGACTCATGGAAACGCCCAATGGACCGTGTACAGGATCGCCAACGATAACAGAATTGTAGTGGAGAGTCAAAAACCAAGATCTGTTTCTTTGGAGGATACAATTGGCAAAGCTGCGGACAGTATCAACGCTTCTGTAAAGACACTGTGGTACGAGCTGATCCATAGCATGCCCGACCATGATGGACGTTATGCTGTGTTTGACTATGTGAAACTCCAGAAGGATGGTACATGGACCTCGGCATCATCTTTCGTGTTTTGGTAAGTTGGTCCTTTGGCAGACCGGTGCCTCATGTCAGATTAATGCTGCCATGTGATATATAAACGATATCGTTATCATACATTTGGCCGTTTAACTCCGAATATACCCTCATTTTATTCGTTGTCTAATTTCGCACTCTCCCTCCCAACCACTCCCCACCCCCAAATTTGACTGTCGTCTGTAAATAATCAAATCTGAACCTGAAGATCCAGTGTTGGACATGGGCATCGACCTACGGAATTGGGATACCATGACATGCATAAGCCAAGAAAACGGACCTGATCATTCAGTCTCGTTTACCACCGCTTACGACCCGGATCTTCACAGGTTCACATTTTCTTTGAATCTGGAAAAGGCAAATCAAACATATCATTGCTCTGACACTTTTAGTTTTGTTCACATCCAGCATGTCCAGAGAACAAGTAGTTACAGCTTTGGGGTTAAAGCCAAAAACAACAATGCAATACATGCAGTCCCTGTCAACAGTGGCATATATATCCATGGTAGAAAGACAGGTTCGTTATTACATAGACATGCAGTGTATATCTACATTATTGTCTTCATTAGTTAATGATACATTCAGCAGCACCTACTGATATGTACACATGTACACGTTTGCCAACAGTGATATAAACCTTGTCATCCTCATGATCATTCATCTCAGTTGTTGGTCAAAAAACGTACATCCATGTAATGTGATCGCACGAAATATTCCTACTCTCTCTCTTTGCGATTTGTTTACACAGAAACCATCTTCTGACTTTTGGTCTTTTTATGCTCATGCGAACATCATAATTTGAATATGGTATCTTTATATCTGGACCTGACCTCGTCGTGTTTGATAACACAAATGCAATTTATTTATATCACTGAATTAAATTTGCTGTCTCTTTTGTCACAAATTTAATAAATGGTAATAATACAATAAGTATTTATATGGCGCCTTTTCGAACATCTTTGCTCAGAGGCGTTCAGGCAAAGGCACTGTTAAATAAGTGAGGTTTCCAGACACGTTTGAATAGTTCAAGATCTTCGATGTTTTGAATGTTTGGTGGCAAGTTATTCCACAGACATGGTCCTGCTTTGGAAAAAGCTCAGTCACCGAGATTCTTTTCTCTCGTCAGTGGAATGTCTAGTACTCGCGAGTATCAAGATTCAGGACAAACAAAGCACATATCCGGACCTCGCTTGAAATGACACGCTTGCATCAAATGTACCAAGTTGTCCGACTCCCAAATGTTCTTGGTGCCTTAGGTTTGGTACCGCCCTTTCATTTTGAGACTACCCGGTATTGCTGCCAGGAACACAGCCCTTCTGATACCCTGGGTAATGCAGAATGCTGTGGTGTTGTGGAGTCTTTACATCTTCCGAAAAGTTCTCGTTGGGCTCGACTAGGCAGCGCCTCTTTTGAAAAATCCCATTTACTGTCTTGGCTGCGTGAAGAGGAATCAAGGGCCCTGAGCACATTATGAGCCCATCTAGTCAGAATGTGCCAGGATCACCCGCACCATGTTTACCGCATCACTGTGTTTTCCACAGTTCAGTATTACCCCGGTAAACCCAAGCTGCTAGAGGCGCTAGAAGGTTATAGTCACGTGACTTATCCCACCGGGTACCCATTTTCTCCTGGGTGAACAGGGGAAATTTTGAACAAACTCACTTGCCTAAGGTGAGACCACATGTATAACATGTGGTTCGTTGTGGACCAGGACTGAATCCTAGAAACTCTCAGGAGTCAAACTGTCAAACTCGGTCACCCATCAAAGGACTCTTCGAGCCCAAAGTTGCTTAACTTCAACTGATTAGTGTCCTGAGCTCTTGGAATAGGACCACACACCAAAATGACAAAACCTGCAGGGACGGTACTCGGAGGCGGTATTCACAAAGTAATATTAAATCAACCAGTGGAATAGCCATAATTGTATCAGAAATATGAAACCGTTATAATTGTGATATCTATTTTCAGGTTGCCGGAGGAAGCCAGTCCGGAAACGAAAAGTATATATACTGCTGGCAAGGATACACTGAAAACAGCCCTGGATATATCTTGACATCGTGCATGTTCGTGAGCCTTGACCTACTCCTTAATGGGTGACAATTTACCCCTTCTTCTCAAAAAGATGCATTTATTCATTCGTAGTATGGCGTTCTTTCTGGGGGCCTTTTTACGCACATTTTTCCACAGAACCGCTCACATCTAAATAACGTTTTAACTACAATTTACCTCTCTGGACTGAAGAGGTTTTATTTTTTTGAGAGAGAGAGAGAGAGAGAGAGAGAGAGAGAGAGAGAGAGAGAGAGAGAGAGAGAGAGAGAGAGAGAGAGAGAGAGAGAGAGAGAGAGAGAGAGAGAGAGAGAGAGAGAGAGAGAGAGAGATTCCGGGGGGTATACAGTGGCCATTTCCCTTGTCACTGAGGTAGATATGTGGGGAATCGAACCCAGGTCTTCGGCGTGACGAGCGAACGCTTTAACCTCTAGGCTACCCCACCGCCCCTGATACATGTATGTAACAACACTTACAGGTATGGAGAGAGAGAGGGGGGGGAGAGTGTGTGTGTGTGGGGGGAAAATAATGGACACTGTGCATTTATTCTTTGTTTTGGTGTATCAAGGGTTTAGTTAATATTCGCATCATCAAGACTAAAATAGAGACAGACAGAACTATAATGTTAACTCTTGAGGTCTTGTATGGACACTAGATTGTTCTTCAGCTTCAAATGCACAACAAACTATACAAAAAGTATAGAAGGCATTCGTAAGCCTTTGATAAACTTTACGTTTACGATAACAGGTAAGCTACGAATCCTTTTTGGATCGGGGCCCAGGCCGTTGATTCTTCCCGGTGGATGGTGTGAATTTGATATTTGATGAATAAATATCCTGTTTTAACAACTGAAAATATGTTCGTAATCAAGTGTTGCCAAACAAATTAAATTGAGTGTGTATGGTCAAATATCGTTATGTTTGACAGCCATTGTACATTTATTTTCATAAATATTATTCAATAAACTATTGTGCACATAATTGATTGTATCGTGAATGCTATTTTAGAACATGTTCGGCGTTTATACAATACGAATATTGATATTTAGACAAATATACAATACAATATTGATTAAGAGATTATTATTCCCTCACTGAAGAATGATATATCTATGTATGTTTTAATAAATGGGGTTACTCGGTGGTGAGTTATATAGTGTAGCGGTCAACATGTCTGCAGCAAGCAATATCGTTCCTCCATGCATGTGAGGACAGCCCAGTGGTTAAAGCGTTCGCCCGTCACGCCGAAGACCCGGGTTCGATTCCCCACATGGGTACAATGTGTGAAGCCCGTTTCTGGTGTCCCCGCCATAATATTGCTGAGATATTGCTAAAAGGGCGTAAAACCATACTCACTCACTCCTCCCTGCTTAAGCAAAGATCCTCACCATGGCACAGGACGACACACAACTAACTACCAACATACTATACCTCAAACCCAATGTTTTGTGGTGACTGTGGATTTATTCTGAAATCTCAATCGGGTAACTGTTTGATCTAGCTCAATGACAAATGGCCACTGCAACCTCGCGATGACTTTACCATGCACGTAGGGGCGGTGGGGTAGCCTAGTGGTTAAGCGTTCGTTCGTCACGCTTGAAGGCTCGAGTTCGATTCCCCACATGGGTACAATGTATGAAGCCTATTTCCGGTGTCCCCGCCGTGATATTGCTGGAATATTGCTAAAAGTGGAGTAAAACCAAACTCACTCACTCACCATCCCCGTAATATATACTATAGGTAACGTTGCTGCTTCTGGGGAATAAAACAGGGATTTACTGCTGTAGCAGGCTTAACACGGGCTTAGTTCATCCATATGGTACTTGTTGGTCCCTGCCTGGCGCTCGGCATTAATGGGTACAACAAGGTCTGGTCGGCTCGGAGTCAGTATAATGTGTCTGAGTGGGGTATTCATGCTTCACTGCGGCCTGGTATCTCAGTGGGCTAGCACTATAAAACCAGCTTAAGTCTGGGCTAGTACAAGCAGCCGCACATACACATACACACGCATGCACGTCGTCATATGAGCGAAATATTCTCCAGCGCGACGTAAAACCCAATTTCACATCACATCACATAGTTCATCCATAGTTACAATCAATCTTGAGTGCATTCAGCCTTGTTTTGGTCGATTCTCAGTCTTTGGCCCAAAACACTCAGATCAGCCTCATCTCAATTCCATTCCCAAGGAGCATCAAGTCGACCCCTTCAAAATTTCAGACCAGGGGCTGTTTCACGAAGCAACCTTCACTAAGGTTAACCTTAAGGTTATCTTAGTGACTTACGATCAACTTAGTGCTTTGTGAAAGGAGGCCCAGGATGATCTAATCCTAAATTGCAAGCACTCAAGAGTGCATTCAGCCTAGGCTTGGGCCAGTCCTACTGGTTTCCTACACACACAGTGCTATCAAAGTTCAAAGTCAAGTCTTTTTATTGTCTATAGGTCACAGGCCGTATACAACATATGTACAAACTTTACATACATTTACACATGTATACAATAACAAAGATTGAGTTTACAACACATATATATAACGACATAGTACACGAAGAAATCATACAAAAATATATATCTTACTAAATTGGCAGGTATTTTTATTCACTTAGTTCATATGCATGGTATACATATGTACATAATTTTCTTAGAAGTGTTTCGTTATTAGTAGTTAATAGGGATTTCAACTTATCCAACACCGCCTATGGCAAAATGTTTTCGAATATGTGCCTGTTGTGAAGGAAATCTCGATAATTGGTATTGTAAACATGGCAACTCTGTCCGATCGTATCAGGTACTAGACAATACATACCACTTGATATCTCTTAATGTAACACAAGAGGTCGTTTGCATTTCAGATGCAAGTGAAGCAGATATTAGCTTCAGAGACTTACTGCTCAGTATATGCTGCATTGCGCTTATACGAATTAAAAAAACACAAGTACTGTTTTGAGGTGAGGTGAAATTGGGTTTAACGTCGTGCTTGAGAATATTTCGCTCATATGACGACGTGCATGCGTGTGTATGTGTATGTGCGGCTGCTTGTACTAGCCCAGACTGAAGCTGGTTTTATAGTGCTAGCCCACTGAGATACCATGCCGCAGTGAAGCATGAATACCCCACTCAGACACATTATACTGACTCCGAGCCGACCAGTCCTTGTTGTACCCATTAATGCCGAGCGCCAGGCAGGGACAAACAAGTACCATATTTAAACGTCTTTTGGTATGACGCGGTCGGGGATCGAACCCGCGACCTTCGGCTCTCCGGGCGGACGCTCTAACCACTACACCATGGAGGCGGTCTACATGTTTTGAGGGATGAAAGGCATAGCAGTTATTGTTTGTTGGGCATAACCTTCCCTTTTATGCATGGGAGAAAGGAAAACGGAGAAAGTGCATACGATGCAAGACGTTTGGTTAACCCGATCCTAAACATGCAATCATAGAGAAAATATGTTGTGCAATTTTGTTATTCAGTTATGGGAAAACGTACATTTTACAAATCAATTAGGCAACAAAACACATCACTCAGTGACAACATAAAGACAACTTTAGGATAAAATTGGTTGGTTGCTTTGTTGTTTAACGCTGAACTCAGCAATATTCCAGCTATATGGCGGCGGTATGTAAATAATCGAGTCTGGACCAGACCATCCAGTGATCATCATCATGAGTATCGATCTACGCAATTTGGATACGATGACATGTATCAACCAAGTCAGCGAGCCTGACCACCCGATCCCGTTAATCGACCGTTAATTCTGAAACTTCGAAGCCATCTCCGAAACGAAAGCCCGAAGTTCAGCTGATCTTGGTGGCAAAGTAGAGCAGCAGTGTTTGGAACCAAAATAATGATAAAAATCAACTGAGAACTAGGAAAATATTATTTAAAACCCCAGTCTATTGAACATTACTATTTTATATAACTTGTATATATATAATTACTTGTAACAGTATAATTACATATACGCTAATATTTACCTCCAAAAGCATGTCATCTCTTTATTGTTTGTTAATTCACTGATAAAATGAAAAACATGCTGTCGTCCAATTCGTTCCACATATACAGTAACTGAGACAGTTTTTTTGGTATCCATTTTAAAACCGGATGGTGAAACCATCCACTCGTTCATAAAACTAGAAACCATGTATCCGAAACTAGACACTCGTTTATAACAGGAGAAACCAGTTTCAAAAACCAAAACCAGTTTCGCAATAATCGAACAGGCCCTAAGTGTCCTTGGCCTACACAGCATTCTTTTCCACAGCACAAGCTTCATAATAGGCTTCAAGTTAGTGAGTGAGTGTAGTTTTACGCCGCTTTTAGCAATACCAGAGCAATATCACGGCAGGGGACACCAGAAATGGGCTTCACACATTGTGTCCATGTAGGGAAACGAACCCGGGTCTTCGGCGTGACGAGCGAACGCCTTAACCACTAGGTTACCCCACCGTCCCGAATAGGCTTCGATGTATGGCTGATTGGTGTACATCTCATTTGAAGCGTTAACTGCATTTTTGTTGAATGATTTAGAAAATGGTAAAATGTAGCATATCATATTTGGGATTACACTTTCTCAGTAAAGTACAGATTCTAATTTTGGGGTTGAGATCCCATCCGGGATTCGAATCCACGCTCTCTGAGTTGCGCACCTAAATTGCCAGCACACAAAGATTTTAGGGTCACTGCATCCTTGGAGTCAATAGCTGCTGTGAAGCGATTTGTTTGCGGATGCATCTGTGCGTAACATGAGATTAAAATGTATCTGTAAGGAGGCCGGACGAACACTTTGACACAACGCATATACACAAACCAAAAGGCGCGGGTTAATTTAGTTCGTATAACTAAACAAGCAGACAAAACGAACGCTGGATGCCCATCAAATGGTGTTATTTGTTTATATCCCTGGTGGGTTAAGCTTGATTTTAAAAAAGGTATCCAAGCTGCGGATGATATGGTGATGGGAGATTGATTTGGATCCCATTAAGTTCTGTAGGGCGGTGGGGTAGCCTAGTGGTTAAAGTGTTGGCTCGTCACCACATGGATACAATGTGTAAAGCCCATTTCTGGTGTCCCCCGCCGTGATGTTGCTGGGATATTGCTAAAAGCGGCATAAAACCAAACTCAGTCAGTCAATCAGTCCTAGTTCTGTATGATGATACATAATCATGACATGTTATTGAC